CGAATTAACTCAAAAAAAAAATATATATATATGATTTTAAATAAAATAAATATTATTTTATAAATAAAAAGTGAATAGATTTTATTAACTAGAATTAAATATGTTATGTAGGTTTGTTTTGATGTGTAAATATCATTGAAGATTATTTAACGATTGGTGTTAATTAGGAATAAAAGAAAATGTATGTGTTGTATTGATTAGTGTATTCCTATTTGATAGTGCTTGTTTACTTGTAAGAGAACTTGTAAACTATTTCGAATAGAAATCTATATTGACTTCAAGAGAACGTTTATTATCATACTTGAATTTTATTTTCTTAAGATGGGTGGGTGTGGGTGCGGGTGTTAGCGGTAATGAAAAAGACAAGACACCCACACCCACACCCACAAACACTTATGGTAATATAAGGTGAGAACAAGAGAAACTCTTAGATATCATAAAAAGAAAGCAAAGCATGATATTATTTATTAAGTTTTTTTGTAATGAATTGCTTTTTATTTTGCTTTCTATTGACAATAAAGATAACGACTAGTTTAACAAAGAGCGAAGCACTTAAAATGAAACAAAACTCAGAGAGAATGAATATCACATCTAGATAGAGTTTTTAGAGTTATATTTGTAAAGGAGTTTTGAGTGGTGCTGAAAGTTGTATGATTAAAATTGCATTGATGTTGTCATTTGTTCTTGAACTCTACTCAGTAAAGATTATAATGCAAGTTTAGTATGTCAATTTCCTTCAAACCAAAAATTAAGACAACAGAATAATGAAGATGTGCGTGTAGGTAAGCTTTTTTTCATAAACACCAACAATCTACACCTTAGCTCATAATTTACTCATTACTACTTGTATTCTGTCTTACTTTGTGGTCTATTTGATATACTTAACGTGTCTAAATCGATTACAGAGAAAAAACAATCTAGAATATCCTATTGTTTCTATTCAAAAATGTTTCAATAAATAATATTAGAAGATAAAATCGAAAAATATTTTCTCATTGTAGAAAATTAAGATGGAATTGATCGGTATCTCTTCAGAAACTAACTATACATTACTATATTTTTTATTGAAGTAAATCTAATTCAGATCAATAACGAAACTATTTCGATGAAACAAAAAATAGTTTTTTCAATGATATAAAATGATGAATTATTTTCAATGTCATATAAGAATAGTTATCAATATATTTATTTTTGACTTCTATGGAACAAAAACCTTTTGAATGAATTCTTAGCTATTTTTATAATTGATTTATCATTTGGAAATTTGTCTTTTTCGAAGTGTTTCGAAGGAATCCCATATCTTTGATGCATTATTCTAGCACTTATATCATAAACATTCTACACTTATTACATTAATATGTCATCCATGAAAATGTTGAGTGTTTTTAGGGATAACGAGCGAGTGAGATTGAACGTATAAATACGTTTCTCAGTTCAATATCAATAATCTCCGTAAACACTTATTTTAAGAGCATGTTGAACTTGATTTAGTGTTCAACAACATCATTTGTGTTCATATGTTAGATTACGTAAATCAAAATATGATTGTTATACAGTAGAAAAAAAAACAAAAATAACAGTATTGAATTTTATTATTAAATGAGCTGTGTGATTTTTGTCAGAGAAAAATGTGTACAATATAAGCTATACAAAAAGAGAAGTTTATGACAGATCAGTATATATATATGTCTAAATTAAAATTATTCTTCCGTAAAAACTTTCTATAATACATAATTGAATTTTTATGTCATCTTCGTAATCATCAACTCTATTTTTTTTACTATTGATTCGGCTTATATAAATGGTAAAAACCGTATAGTATTAATTGATACAAATTTAATGTATCCAATTGATTCGACTATTAATTTTTATCAAAAGTGTCATTGATAAACAAAAATATTAGTAGAAAAGTAAAAGAAAAAAAATTCTAATAAAGAAAACTAATTCAATGAGATAAATCTTTTAATATTCAATGAACGCATCTACTAAACCCTTAAAGCATTTAGGTATGAGCTAACAAGAAGAGCTCATCAGATTCACACTCCTCTGTTATCTTCTGTATTACAATTAAATATTAAATAAAACAAAATATAGATAAAGAAGAAAAGTAAAAAGATTGCTTTCGAGCAAAGGCAATAAATGATTCATTCGATTCATTCTCAAAAAAAAATTTACACGCACAACTTTCAACAGTATTTATCAGGTCAAAATTATACAAAAATTACAAGTTTTAAATCTCTAATCGAAATGTATTTTTTCCTGTAAACGAACTTTCTCAATTATTCTTTTCTAACAGTAAAAAGGTCAAACATTGTTCCTATTTCATAAGTAAAAAGCAAAACAACTAGAATCTTTTATTCAAACTGATATTTTTGTTACTAATAAATTGCCTATATTCATGTTGAAGAACAACAGTGTAGTGTCAGACTCAATAAGATATATAAAGAGATTAATATTAAAACAACATTCACTGAAATACTGATACAGGATTCGTCTATTTGTGGATTTTACCAAAAGACTCGTTATTTAACTTTACAAAAAATCTTTTATTAAAAGCCTTTTTATTAGTAGAAATTTCTCATAAAAATTATAAGGACGATATCATTTACTCGAAAGTGGTTTGCAATTTTCTTTAAATCTCTTCTATGTCTCATAGATTCACTTATACTTTCAAGCATAACAAAAAACCATGTATATATGTCTAATGAGAAAAAAAATGTGATTCATTAATTTATTTATTATTACTACTGAGATTTCTTTTATAGACTCAAATAATTAATCTATATATAATTTTATTTATGAAAATTCTGAGATATTTTTCAATGAACTCACAATAAAACTCTATATCTCACAAATACTCGATAAAAATATCAATTATCGTTAGAAAATCACAGAAAACAAATATTCGTCAGAATATGAATTTATCCTTAACGAGAAAATATTCCAATAAGTTATTCAGCATGTTTTCTTTTTTTTTTAGTGTAACACCTCACTCTACACCTATAATCGAGATACAGAATACACCAACAACTGTATGATAGGAGATCTGAATAAAAACAAAATATACAATCTCTCAAGCAACTATAGTTTAATCATTTTCTAATAAAAAACCAACATCGAATTTTTTATAGAAACTTAAATATCTACACTGAAAACAAAATGAAATTGTTGTATCTGTCGAATAATTTTTATACTAGAGAAATATAATGAGAAATACATGAAGACATTCATTAGATGCTCTACTGCTATCATTATTGTCTCTCTTAAAAAATACTTCATTTCATTCTAATTAAATGACATTACTTCATAGAGAGTACTTTGTCAGGTAACTAAAAACAGTTACCTCTTTCATTTCTACAATGTCAAAATACTCATTAATAATTCAATTAAGAAAGTGGAACATATAAAGGCAATAACATTCATTATATCTAAACGAAAAATGCCTCTTTTTTGTACTAATACTTTGTCTGATATACAGTTTCGTATAAAAATCTGGAAATAATATTACTTTTACATTATAGTTGTTTGTTCAAAATGTTTATAATGATGAATTTTGTTTTCATCGATAAATCTTGAAAATTTAAAGAGTACAAATATGATATACTCTATCATCAGGAGACTATTTTGTGATGAATTCATAGCTGTTTATATATTCATTACTATATATATCGATGAATATGACAATATAAGTGAATACACATCATTCATAGTTTGTTATGTACAAGTTGATACATTCTGGACGAAAATTAGATAAATCCTGAGAAGCACTATATTCCAATGAAAATAAAATTTAGTAACGATGAAAATCACTTGAAATGAAAGAAATTCATCAATCTTAAATGTGTAGAAATTTCAATTTTTGTACAACTAACATTTGTTTAAAGAAAAGTCGAAAAACTATACGTGAAAAAAGTTCACGCAAAAATTTCTCAGAAATTTCTCAAATACATATATATTGAAGATAATGAAGACGTCCAATAAAAATTATATTGTTCAGTAGAGAGACAAACGCTATCTTATTCTATATAATTTAGACATGTATATATTTCAGGTATTCTTAAAACAAAGATCACATTTTGTAAAAACAAAACACACCTATTTTTTAAGTTACTCGAGTTGATGAATTCTCTTGTCTTGTATTCTCATTCGAAGACGAGCAATGGGAAGGAGAAAGACAACACCCTCTATATATATGTAACATGAAAATTTTTTTTCGTCGACGATGGCATGATATAGATGTATGTCAGACGAGAAAAAAAATCATCAAATCAATTAAAACAGAAATGGAATGATTGATAAAAAATCAATCAAAATTTTGAACATCGGTCAATTAATCTCCGAGTATATAAAAACATGCATACATCATTATGAAACAGTATACACTCGAGTTGTATTATTATAATGCATTACAATGTATTTATATACCCGGGATTATTATTTACTATTACTATTATATTATTTACAATGATAATGATATTATTAAATTCTATATGAGGTAAATAATAAATTCATTATATATTTAATAAAACTTTTTTTTTCTTTTTTTTTTAGATGAGTTTCGATATTATACAATATTGAGAAGTAAGAAAAAAAAAATTTTTACATATTCAGTTGAGTTGAGTTGAGATAAGTTATTTTGAGAAAAAATAAATACTATCAGTTATTATGAGTATGAGTTTATTTGAGATGAGTTGAGTTGAGTCATCAATGTGGATCAGATAGCTACGTTGTCTGATTCAATAGGTAGAGGAATTTTGCCATAGCGAAGCAGTGTAGTGCTAGGGAAGGCCTCTATGTGTCGTTGGTCCCTACCGTTCATACGGCATACCTTCGGCCATTGCCCTACCAGTCCGGCATGACCCGCCTGTGGTACCTATGGCATTGACAAGGGATCTCTCCCTTGTCGCGCGCGCGCGAATAAGCCAAAATGAACCGAGAAAAATCGAAACGATTAACAATGTGAATAAATTTATTGAACAAGCGAAAAGAAAAAATTACAGTTACATTTTCTTTTTTACATTGTCAATTGAGTTTGTAACTGTTTTAATATTAGGATGATTAGGTGGAAGTGATTTTTGCAAGATAGAAAGTGCCTTTTCTACGAATGAGAGTGCTTTTGAGTAGTCTCCTTTGCCGGAATACGCCAAACCAATGTTATTGTAGGAAGTAGCTAATGAGGGATGATTCGGAGGCAGAGCTTTTTTCGTGATTTCGAGATCTTTTTCGTAAAATTCAAGTGCTTTCGAGTAGTCACCCATGTTGTCATACACGAGACCGATGTTGCTGTAGGAACTAGCCAAATTGGGATGATTCGGAGGCAGAGCTTTTTCGAGGATTTTATGTGATTTTTCGTAAAATTCAAGTGCTTTCGAGTAGTCACCCATGTTGTTATACACTGCACCGATGTTGTTGTAGGACATAGCCAAATGGGGATGATTCGAGGGCAGAGCTTTTTCTCTTATTTTAAGTGATTTTTCGTAAAATTCAAGTGCTTTCGAGTAGTCACCCATGTTCTTATACACTCCACCGATATTGTTGTAGGATCGAGCCAAATCGGGATGATTCGAAGGTAGAGCTTTTTTCGTGATTTCGAGATCTTTTTCGTAAAATTTAAGTGCTTTCGAGTAGTCACCCATTTTGTTATATACTCCACCGATGTTGTTGTAGGACAGAGCCAAATCCGGGTCATCAGGAGATAAAGCTTTTTCTTTTATTTTAATTGTTTTTTTGTAGAATTCTACTGCTTTAGAGTAGTCACCCATGTTGTTATACATGAGACCGATGTTGTTGTAGGTATTAGCTAATGAAGGGTGATCTTCTGGAAGAGTTTTTCGATAGATTTCGAGAGACATTTCGAAAAATGAAGCTGCTTCTTTGTATTGTCCTTGGTCTTGTTTCACCCATCCGAGCTGGTGATAGATATGTGCTTTATCACTGTCGTTGGATGTCTGTTCTAGTAGTGCTGTGTATAATTCTTCGGCCTTGTCAAATTGACCAATTTTGAGCAGCAATTTACCCATTCGATACCATCCACTGTCGTCGACTTCTTCTCGTATACAGTCAGTTAACCGACGAAGTTGCTGGTCATCATCGGACGTAAGTTTGAGGTCCACTTGGTAAAGTGGACTTTCCTTGTCAAGTTTTCGAATTTCACCAATTCGAAAAACTGTATGCATGGAGAAGAGAATTTCCTCTTCGCCCTTGTAATAACTCACCTCCTGAATGGAGGCGAAAGGAGTCGATGAGACAGTAGGATCTATTGTCATTTGAAAGAGGATGCCGACCATATCGGTTGTTCCTAATGCATCTTTGGCGAAACCGAGAGAAACATCTCGTTTTGTACTGGTAGATAAAAAGTTGTTGAAAGATATGAGACCACCTTTGTTTTTTGCAAGTTTTTCAAAGTCGCTTGTCGATAATCCTTGACCCCTATAAACTAGAAAGGACTTTCCATGATACTGACTGACCTGTTGGTTGTGTAATTCTTCAATTTGCCGATGAACATCACACAGGAAAAATCCCATTCGGATGATAATGTCACCGTCGAGTGTTCGTAATGCTCGATTGAGCATTTTGAAGGTAAAGCATTGGCGTGTATACCACCATAACGCCAATGTTGGATGATAATTACGTTGAAATTCATTGATTAACTTCAGTTCTTTGGTATTGCCTTCGTATTGTTCTTGGCAATATGTGACCAAGTCTTTAACGGCTTTTTGACCATGTTCCATATCAAGGAGTATTTCCTTGAATATTTGAGTATACATGAAGGAAGGCTCTAGCTGATTGAGATTTTCGCTAGAACTTCCTTCACTAGCACTAATAATACTAATAGTCACCTGGTCTTGATCACATTGTTTTATAGCCATTCCCAGTTTTTCACAGATGTGCTTGATTGATGTATGCACACCTTTAATTTTGGGCCAGTTTTTAGCCCATTCTTGGTGACGTTGCTTGTTGCCACAAAAGATGTATATGGCATCCAGTTTTGGCATGCCATGAATTTCTGGTACTAGGTGTTGCCCTAATGTACCCGAGGAGATGACATATGATGTCTCCTCATTGTTTTCCTGGAGTTTCTGGATACATTGGTCGGCCGTTGTGCATGGATTGACTTGATTAATAACACCGCGCAATTGCGCGAGTGCATTCTGGCAATCTTCATTTGCCATGTCAATAGTACCATCGACCCAGATGACCAGATAATTTTCAGCCATTCGTAGTCGTCGTTGTCTACTCATTTTCGACGTTGTTTTTGACGTTTGCTCGACGATTGAATATTGTGAAGGATCAATTGTTGTTTGGATAGAGACCACTGTTTTCTATTTATATATTCGATATTGGATGTTTTTTTTTCTAGATTATTCTACGACGTCAAATATGAAATATAATATATATAAGTAAATGAACGACTTAATATTGAAATATAAGACTTTTTTTTATTTTAACAGCAGCGAAAATGTTTTGCAATTGACAATATCAGCTAAGAAAGACTATCGAAAATGACAGAATTTACTTTTGCAGAAAAACTGCAAAAGTTAATTCTATATAGACTATCTTTATGATGGAACCAACTGATGTTGTGCAATTACGTCGGCACTGTTACATAGTGATACATACAACACGACCATTGAATGTTTTTCGTTCTTCGTATAGTATACGTATAGGCTGTTTATAACTAGCAAACTATTGTTTTTTTTT